GATTACAGATTTCTAGATCCAACCGATAATTGACAACCGTAAACCGTAGCACAGGCTATTTTTCAAAATTCGTCGTCTGTGGGATTTGAACTCTAGACCTGCCACTTGGAGAGGATGACGACGACTAGACCACTACACTAAATCACCACACCTCACAGATATAGATTTGTTTTAACAGATTAGAAATTTAATTTATATAAATAAATAACAATTGTATAATTAAACTTTTCTTCTATTCAAACAAACAAATATTTAATAAGTTTAACTAGTTTAAAAAATTTTATGTGTCAAATAGCACTTTATTTGACTGTTTGATAATATTTTCTTCAATGTATAATAGTGTTTTATTTGGTAGTTAGTTGTTAACAACAGTAATGCAATGTATTGAAAAGTATTAGAAAATAAAAGCAAATATAGTACCTTAAAGTATATTCATTTTTATATGGTATTATTTAATCTAATATTAACTTATAGATTAACTTATAGTTATTAATATGTTATATAGTATGGAATTTTTTGATGAAAATGAAATTAGTTCTGCAAATGAAGCAATAAATAAAAAATTAAACAAATTATTGAATGAAATAATAACTGAAAATTATTAAGACAACACAAGCTTATATATGATATGAACTTATTAGATAAAAATTTGAAGCTTACTTTACTTAAATTAATATTAGATTAATTTTTATATTTGAAGTGATACTAAAGTTTTTAACTATAAGTTCTAGTTAATAAATTTTTAGTGTTCTTTCTTTTAAATATTAGATCAACTTTTTCATATATAGGATGATACTAAGAAGTTTCTGAATAATTATAAGTTAGAAAAAGGCTTTAGTATACACAGAAAATAAACTGAAACATAAACTAAAAATAATACTAAAATCTTATATAAAGTTAGTTGGAAGTGCAATTGTGCTAGCAAATATAAAGTAAAGAAAGTGGTAAATCTAAATAATCAAAGAAATTGCTAGTTCAAGATAACAGACTGTTAATAGAAAGTTAATGCAAATTTTTTAAAAAGTATATTGATGATTAATTTTACTAAGTTTGTAAATGAATATAACTATCTGTTAATATTTTTACCTAAAACTAATATTGCTAGATATTATAAATTTAAAAATAAAATACAGTCGGCCCTCTCAGAACTGGTATGCATGGTGAACGGGTTTAGTATTGGTTTTGAGAAGTAATCAGATTTGACAATATCATGTAAAATGTGGACACGCATTGACCAATCAAATTGCAAGATTGAACAATTTCTGGGGCCTAGTCAGAGCGGAAAATAGAATTATATTGTGAACGAAAAATCCTAAAAACAATATTCTGATCACGTGATTGTCGAGAATGAACCCATCTATATCAATTTTTATGTGATTTAATTGAATACATATATATACAAAATCAGAAATTTATATATAAAGGCTATCGGATATCGAAAATGACAGATTATTGGTTATTACTTATGGAACGGGTATGGTGGATTGATTTTTAACCAATTTTGGCAGGATATTGGTTTTGACAGGATTGGTTCTGAGAGGGCCGACTGTAGTTGAATTTGTTGAATTCTGTATTAATCATAGTGCAACTAGTGCACCAAGTATTGGGTATTTCTTAAAAGAAAAATTTCTTGGAAGAAAGATTTATTAGAAGAGTCTTTATAACTCAATTCAAGCAGCAAAAAAAAATCAATAATACAAATTGAGTTTGATATATTTAATTTTATAAGGCACTTATATTTACAATGAGCTGAGGATTCACATTGGTTTGTGGAGGCAAAATTTGAGAAAGATGATTGTTAATTATATAGATTAGTATGAATATTACTAGAACAGCAAATTCTATAAATCCATTATTATGATGTTTTTTTTTTTGATACAACATCTTGCACCAATAAGTATAACATAATAGCATGTTTTTTTGTTATTATTAATAATTGCAATAGAACATGGCTTGTTGCAATTGTAATGCTTAAAAATAAAACAAAAAATGGGTTTGTTTAAGTATTAAAAATAATTAAAAAATATATAAGAGATTTAACACCAAATATTGTATTTACTAATTCAGCAATGAATAGTGCAATAAATTTGAAGTTTTCAGATTCAATTTATTGCTTATATATATTCTACATTGATCTCAACCTGAAAAAAACTCTTAGAAATAAGCTAGACTTATCAGTATTTAAAGAGTTTTGTGAAAACTTTTACAAGTATAGAAATATATTAGTTTTGAGTCACTTTGAAAGTCAATAGAAAAGTTTAAAATTAAAATATATATTAGCTAATAATTATATAAAGCAACAACTAGATCTGTTTAAATATAAATAAGCTATCTGTTATACAAATAATTAATTCACGGCTAGTACAAATAGTACTCAAAGAGTTGAAGGCTTGAATTTAAAATTCATGACTATGTTTGGTCGAATTTATTACTTTTGGAGTTAACAAAGGAAATTCAAGAATTACTTAGAAGCGTGTCATTTATCATGTAATATTTTTTTATTAAGAGTTTTACCTATCCATGTATGGTGTGATTATATATATAAATAATCAAAAAAAATCGAACCAAACCTGGGCTCAGAGCCAATAAAATTACAAATTTTATAAAACAAAATTTTGCTACAACTTCAACTAATATAAAAAACTTCAATTAAAAATATAAGTATTACAAGCAAAAACCTGTAATTTTGGTTTTGCCAGCCCCATATTCTGATCCAACTTCCAATAAATTTAAATTAAACACAATTTATATAATATGTTAAATCACATTTTTTGGGGTTTGATTTATCAAATTCAACTTGATTTTCGCTTGGTGATACTTATATATCAAAATTCTAATTGGTTAAGTTCCCATACTAGCACATTGATACTAGGCTAGGTACTAGTGTCTTATGCTCATACCTGTATCTATAGGTGCAAAAGTGCCAGGCACTATTAAAGACATGAACACAAAGTGTTGGGCAAAGTGTCAGGTACAATTAAAAATAAATATCAAATATCTATGCCTGTGCTCATACCCACATCCATAACTATTGAATAGTGCTATTTAATATTAGCCCGGCACTAAAAAATCTAGAACTAAAATTTGGAGAAGTATTCCCATATAAATTATTAGCACAAAAAATCTATTTTTTGGCTTTGGCTTACCCAAATTTCTAACCATAACCCATTCATTTTGGGACATCTAAAAAATTTTTTAATGCCAAATTAATAAGTTACTGAGTTGAAATCAATTAAGGTACTGATATTAACTAATATCAAAAACTTATCAAATCGGTCATCATCAATTTTTCAAATACCTAAACAATAAAACAATAAGTATTCGGATTATATTCTTCTTATACGTAATAGCTTACTGTAATCTATATCATAAACACTTACAATTATGAGAACTCAATTTAGAGTGTTCAGACTTATGCGATTTTAGGAGATTTTTCATTGTTCAAACAATAAAAAATCTCTGAAATCGCATAAGTCTGGACACTCTAACTCAATTCTGTAAAAATCAGAGTTTTCAGATAAAAGGCTTAACTAAATTAAGCAACCAAACAGAATAATATCAATGATACACAAATTTCTACAACCTACTGATAAAAATAAATCAAACATATATGAGAAATATATCTAATATGGCTAGACAAAAAATTAGCAACAATTAGAGATAGGTTTTATATATACGCATGATTCCTCAATCATATACGTTAATGTGTATGATTTGGAATCATGTGCATTTTATCCTATCTAAATTTTATATAAAAAAATTAAAGTAATTCAATTTAGATCAAGGTATATAATGAAGAAATAGAAATGCAGAAGTTTTGAAAAATTTCGAAAAAAAAATGAATGAACATAAAGATGAGAAGGGTCAAGGAAAAACTTTGGCAAATATCTAAAATTTTCCAGAAAAAAAATATAAAATTAAAAAAAAGTTATATCATGCAATATCATGCATATTCATACGTATATTATTATAAAATGCATATTTTTTCTATCTCTAGCAACAATAGACAACAAACACAATAAAAAATAAAATGACTATACTGGGCAATATGCAGACAATAGTACTATGGATATAGAGACAGGTAGATGCATAATGTATATATATACACATGCACACCTATTTGTTACTATCGTCTAAAATCTAATATTACATTTTGATACTATATTTCGACTTTCTTGGCTATTCAAGAAAGTCAAACAAAACAATATTCATCTTTGTATTCATTGTAATTTGCCACGATTCCAAAATTCATTTCTGTATAAAAAATATATGGTTGCCTATAATAAAAAGCTTTAATCTTTACTTAAAATTAATAAAATATCTTTAAATTTGAACTATCTCAAATAAAGGCTTCTTTACTATAAAAAAAAAAAATGCAGAGCTTTTTAAACCTTTTTAAATTTGATACACACCTATTTTATAAGTCTCCAACTGATTTATACTAAGAATTTTCTAATGCTTATGTCTATTATAAGCAGGCTACTTTTTGCAACTCTACCCCCAATAAACAAAAATTATTAAGCAAAGCCCGAGCAGCTTGGAAAAAAATAAGAAATAAGAATGAAACTATCGTTTACGAAAGAATCCAATCATACTTAACAACAGAACTTAATACAATTTGTTTCTATTATAATTTTATAGTAAACACCAAATCTTTTATATCCATATTGGTTTCGTTTACGTTTTGCCTATATCTACTTCAGTAATTTTATCACAATCATTGGACAACATTGCAAAAAATGCAGTAGATCAAAATGATGCAATAGTTAAAATCAAGGAAGCAGCTTAGCGAATATCCAAATATAAGCAAGCAATCAAACTTATTAGCGATCCTAATACAAAAAAATAATTATTAGCCAAAATTGAAAAGAACTGAGTAGTTATCAAAGTAAATGAAAAAAGACTATGAAAACTTAAATGTTATGCAGAAGCTCAAGCCAAACTTAGAGCAAAAAAACAAAAACAACTTGAAGATGAAGGTATTGTTGAGCAATACAATAAACCTAAACGATTACCAGCAGCTATATTAAATCTGAATCTTTGGGACAATATTTACAATTGCGTAGAATTTGGATTTGCTTATGCTAAAAGACAAAAAACAGTAATTAAAGTTCGTACTATCAAACATTTACATGAAGCACTAGAAGAAAAATACAACCTTTATCTCTCGCGCTAGTGTTTGTCAACATATTTGGAACCTCGACACAAACACATGTTCGCAGCTCACCATTACTATCATCCCGCAAAAGTCAGTCTGGCATCAGTTACAAGAACTAATATGAGGCAACACATAGACGAATACTATTGTTTGGCATCTGTTAAAGCAGCTTAAGTTTTTGTGGAGGTATTTGCAAATGATACAATTATCATCTTCCAGGATAACAAGGCAAAAATTGGGTTAGGTATTCCTGTAGTGGGCTATACGTTTAAGACCATGCAATCAACAAATGAACCAGTTACTATTAAAGATCATGATTTTCCAAAAGGAAGTAAAATAAAACTTATACCTTCAGTATATCTTCTTATTGACCCTGTCAATTCAAATACTACGCTTCACTCTGGGCAACTTGCTATCTTTATCAGATCTGAGTATTTCATAAATATATTATTATCTACATATATAGATAACTTATTAAGCCATGTTGAAAACTAGAAATTTGCTTCTATTCTATTGTGTAAAAATAAAATTAGACTCATCTTAGTCCTTCTCATTGATGGGGGCCTAATGAGAACCCAAAGCACTTTAAAAATATCATTAAATATTATAACTTATTCCAGACTTTAGATATTGATTATTTAACTGTCCATACCCATGCATCATATCAAAGTGCTTATAACCCTGTTGAAAGAAGTATAGCTTCTTTCTCAGAAAAACTTGCCAGTATTACTTTATTTGTAGATGAATATAGTGTGCATCTGAATTCTCAAGGAAACATTATAGATGAAGAGTTAGCATAGTATAATTTTGAATTTTTAGGAAATAGATTATATGAGCTTTGGAATAAAGATAATATATATAGTAAACCTGTAACAGTACACTATGTAAATCAAAGTAGTCAACCATTTGGTGATATTGCACCCCCAACATGAGATTGGATTGAATATCATGCTTAGTTATGCTGATATTTATTGGATCTAAAAAAATGTAAGAATCATCAATATTGTCATAAATACAGAGCTCCGGATACTGCACTTTTACTAAACCAAAACGATGAATTTCTTCTCTCTATTGCCAAAGGCATGAATGGTCACTTTATCGATCCAATATTTTAACAAATTAAAAATTCCATCATATGATTGCTCATGCCTATCGATTTCAAATGAAATGTACCAGCGCTTATGTTGCAGTAAGTGTAGTAAGTATTTTTCTACCTTGAAATTCATTGCAAATTATAACATAATATCTTCAACACCTATCCAAGTATAGTCGACCTCGAAAGCAAGTTGATGAGTCATCAATAGAAGCAGAGTTGTTAAACTTTAGAGTTGCTGAAGATATACTTAATTGTGACTGTGATTTGTCAGAAAAAAATAGTTCAAATCTGCATGAAGTACAATCTAACAATGAATGGGAGGTAATAGATGTTAGAATATATAATTAATATTTGTTTGTTTAGTTAAATCTGTTTAGTGTAGCTTTATATACAGTAAATGTGTATAAAAAATTAAATGAGCTTTTGGCTAACGATCTACGTAACCTTTGTCTTTATAATCTGTTATATTTGGTATGCATAAAATTTGTATAAGTATTAGTTCTTCAGCTACTAGTTTTGAAAATTTCTATTCAGAAATTTCTTGAAGTAAAATTTATAGTAGTACTAATTATTAGATTTGTTCTTACATTAAATCTATACATATAGCTTTGTATAACGCTTTAGTTTTTATATCTAACCACTATTTGACCAATAAAATTTTGTACTACCATATGAACCATAGTAGTAGCAGTGCATATATATTATATATATATATATATATATGTTATCGCTAGCCAACCCCATGTATCCATGGTAAAAATCACATAAGAGGGCATCCATAAATAACGGTATGTTTGAGAGGGGGAGGGGGTCTCCCAAAATATAACGATTTTCCAATATTTAGAGAGGGGTTCCCCAAAATATAATGCAATTTTTTTATAAGAATTTGTCTAAAATTTGATCCAGTGGTCCAAATTGGATGATTTTAATACCATTCGAATTCTCTTAAGAAGAGGAGTCGAATGGTACTAATTTCATTTGCTTTGGATCACTGGATTATGTTTTATTAATGAAATACTATTGGTTATTATATTTTCTTATAAAATTACTATAAAATCAATAGCATTTTGTTAATAAAATATTATCCAGAGGTCCAAATGAAATAATTTTGGTACTATTGGATTCGTCTTACTAAGACAAATCGAATGGTACCAAAATTATCCTGATTTGATTACTGGGTCATAATATATTCAAGTTTTTGTAAAATTTTATATATAAACATATGGATTTTTAAAAAATTTTTATATAGTCTAGGGGGGGGTCAAGAGCTACTATATAGGGGTACATAACATTATATATAGATACCCCCTAAGAAATATCATGCCCCTTAATAAAGAATCAAAATATGCAAGAGTCAAAGAGTATAAAAAACAAATCTCAGTCTTTTAACTATTTTAAAAACCTATTTTAATTCAATTGAAAATATTATTTTACAATATCTTTTACTAGTAATGTTGTTTACTATATGTAAACAAATACAAGAATGCTTTTATTATGATAGTTTTTTAATAGATAATATGGCTATAGACTTTATAGTTCAGATTAGACATAATATTAATTCTACTTAACTTTAATGTCACTATACTAAATTATTTTATTTTGTATAATAAAAACAAGTAAATGTTAATAATATCAAGAGTATACAAGAAGATAACTATGAAGTTATAAAAATATGTCTTCTAATATTTTGTCAAAAATTAGACAAGATCAAATTATAGAAATTTGAAGAGTCATTATTTCTTGTGGATCTAAAAATAACTATGTTATATTGTTAGCGAATAGGTCTTATAAATGCATATACAATATTATTATAACTTATAGACATCCATGCCAATATTTTTATAAGGTCTTATATTGCTCTAGCTAGACAAAATAGCATATAGAATTTATTGCAACATGTTGGTACAAAGACAATTTTGTTGATATTTAGCAGCAATCTCCAATTACTATATGTACAAGTTCTGATCAAGTCAAAAATCAAAATGGTGTTAAATATCTAGTATACAAATTTAATTATATAAAACAGGTTTGAAGTACTGAAGTTTATAGTTATATATTAAGAGAAGTTAATAATACATGACAGAAGTAAAGTAGAGTACAAAGTATTATGAGAAAAGTACTTAATATAGCACTTGCAACTAATTTATATGATGAATAGATAGGTATTTGTTATAGATTTATTTTGAATAAAGAAAACAACCAAATGGATAATACTGTACAATAACAAATGATATTAATGATATTAATTACTATATTAAAAACTCTGTGATTAGTATATAAAGAGAATGACTACTCGGAAGGGCAAAAAGTAGTATTGAAGCTAAAGATTAATATGCCAAAAAAAAGCAATATTTAGAAATTTATATATTTCAGAACTCCAGCTTTTTTTTACTTCATAGAAATTTATAATCTGATTGAGTAATAATATAGATTTTGGTTATAATATGATTACAAAATAGGTAATGTTTTAGAACTGGGCATTTGACTATAATAGTTTTTTTTTAAAACAAAATTTGATTTATATTTCAAATAATTATATTTGTTAACTTATATAGAGTTGTGATATAAACCAACAAAAAAATTTATTGGCTAGAGTTAATTTCAGAAAAGCTTGATTAGACCAAGTTTTTTTGCTAGCCCAATTTTTTTAATCAGAATTAGCCACTATACCTTTATCAAACTATAAAAAGATATTAGATAGTTTTTTGCTAAATTCTTGTAATATTTAATTATTTGGTTTTTATTTTTTTTGTCTTTGAAAAATTCTAGCACTTAGTTTTGATGTTGATTAATTATCTATATATATAAATATATTTAAATATTTCTTATTTTTAGAAAAAAATTAATACTTTTTATTTTTTATTAACTAATCTGGTCTACAAAGATACAGGCTAAAGTATTACTTAGTGTTCTAAATTATACCAAAAAATGCAATTGATTAATTGGATAAAATTTTTTTAACCAATCAATTAAAAATCGTTTGTAATAACTAATTGGTTAATCAATTAGTTGTGTAATCAATTAATCAATTAACTAATTATTCGATTAAATCAATTATTCAATTATTCGATAATACCAACTATATAATCAATTTAAGCTGTTCTCAAGCATCTAAATCAATTAATCAGATAATAACAGTAATGATGCTCAAGCATCACAATTAATGATAATATTTATAGAATTAAATACTTGAGCATACTTTTTCTGTTTTTTTGTATTGTTCACTATACTATTTAAAAAATCTAATAAAAAAAATTTCTTTTTAATCAACTATTAAAGTTTTAAGTTTAGTTATATCAGCTCTTTTTAATAATTTTAGCAATTTAAAAAATTTTAATATAGAAATAATAGTATTAATTATAGTTTAGTTAAGGGTAGGGTGTTGGTAGATTATTTTTCATATGATCTACGTGGTACAATAAAATTTTACATATACATCAAAAATACGCCCCTGATAAAACTTTTTATAACCGTGACCAATTTTTATAGAAACTTGGTATCACGTAGTATAAGCCTTATTTTTATAGTTGTGAAA